CCGAAAGCATCCTTGATTATAGCAACTCGAGGTTTGAATTTGTTCTTCAGTTCCTTGAGCTTAAGAAATGCTGAGCAAGTGCAGCCCTTTTGATTTTCTGACTCCAACTCCTTGCACATTTCATTGTAATATTTTACTTTGTCATCCCATGCTGCCTTTTGAAATCTTCTATTCAACTATTTAGTACTATGGAGTACCTGGTATGAATGCTTTGAATGAACACTGACTCAGTGATTCTGTTTCTCTCCCCACAGCCTGTGAAGTGGGTGTCATCATCCCAAAACACAGGCAAGAAACTGAGGCTCAAATAGGGGAGACACCTGCCCAAGGGAGCAGAGCAGATAGAGGAAGCAACCAGCCTGACTCCACAACCTGAACCTCCTATTTCTGGTACTTAAAGGTGATACCAGGCCACAGGCCAAGCATACACAGCACACAGAGCTGACTCAGGCTGCTCCCACCTCCCTCCTGTACTCCCTTTAGCCAGCCTTCCCGGGGCCTCCTCAGACTGAAGTAGACCTGTCACTAACCCCCACGGCTCACTGGCTGGTGAGACATCACCAGAAGGCCAGCAGCATCTTCAACTGTCCCCAGACACTCATCCCCTCCAGCACTCTGCCTTCTTCACTGCACCTGTGCAATCATCATACCATTTTGTTCAAGGCACTCTTCTCACTTCTTTCCTGTGATCCTAAAAATCCCTGTGGCCTCTGTATCTCCAAAATCAGCCTCCCAGACCTCAGCAGCATCTCACTCTCAGACACAGCCCTCTTTTTGAAACTGTCACCTCTGGCTTCACAGGTCTGTCACCAGTGCTGGCCCCTCCCTCAGAGAGTACACCCGTTAACCCTGTGCTCAGCTAGATCCCCTGTCCTGGACCCAAGACCAACCCACATCCTGAGGTCTGACAGCCCCACAATCAAAAGTCGAAGGCCAAACACTTCCCCTCCGCCAGTCTCCGATTCTTGTGCTGGGAGCCAGGCGTTAAGTATCACCCCTGGTGCAGAAACCTCCTTTTCACTCCTCTGGCACATGAAGTTCCAGCAGAGCCCAAGGTGGGAGGGGGTCGGTTAATGCTGACATCCTTACCCCTTCCCCGGTCCAAGTGGGCCTAATCCTCACCTAAGCTCACCCAACCTAAGGGACACAGACTCAAGTTTATGATCAGGGAAGGTCTCTGGAGGTGAGGGTAGCCAGTGGGGCCAGCGTGACACATCAGGCTCCTGGACAGATGTGCTGGACAGCCGAGGACCTGAACTGCCACCCCATCTATGCCACCCATGCTATCCCAGGCTTTACCTGGGCTGCCTTGGAGCTCCACATACCTGCAGAGACAGTAACGAACAATGCCCAGGGCAGCAGGACAGTAATGAACACCACACCCCACCAAGGCACAGGTCACAAGTGGCCAGCCCAGCCCAGCCCAGCCCTGAGGAGAAGCAAAGCAAGGTAGGCCAGGAGCAAGACTGAGGTGGTGCCAATCCTAGTTGAGTATATACTTGCTGGGTCACATTAAGCTAGACACACAACCTCTGTGAGCCCCCATTTGTCACCTGAGTAAAAAAGGGCTCTTTTAGAGAAGTTGCCAGTCACTTCTGATTGAAAGAAAAAACCAGAGAGATAAGAGAAAGACATATAGAGAAGGAGACAAGAGAGTTAATGAGTCACCATTTCTCTGGAATGAACCACAAGCAACACCACTTTGCTAAATGTTTGTGCACATTATTTGCAAACAGGGCTGGGAAGGCTTACTATTGTGTCATTTTTCAGAAAGAGAACAGAAGCCTGGCAAGGTGAAGCACCTTACCAAAGGCCTAGGACAGACTTTGGGCTTGACCCAGACCCTCCAACTTGGGTATTTCTACCTCTGTTATGGATTAAGTTGTGTCCCCCAAGATGCGTCAACTAGGCCAGGATTCTCAGTATTATGTAATGATGCTCCTTTTTTTATGACGTAATGTAATTATCCCACATGCCATCTTAACCTTTATATGACTGAAAACATGCAATCTACAGTACTAAGCAGATTAAGCAAGCAAGCAGAGGACAGAGGGTACTCCAATCACAAAGAAAGAAGAGCCAGGAGCAGAGTGCATCCTGTCGATCTTGGGTCCCTGTGCTGAGAAGCCCCTAGACCCAGGACAAGACTGATGATGTCAAAGCACATGTAGATTTCCAGGAGACCAAAAAAGGTTAAAAGGAAACAAGGACCTTCTCTCAGAAAGAAAGAGAGAGCTTTTTCCTGGAGCTGGGGCTCTGAATTAGACTTCTAATCTTCTAAAGTGTGAGAGAATAAGCATCAGTTTGTTAAAGCCATCCACAGGAGGCATTTCTGTTACAGTGGTACCAACCAGATAATCAAACAGCCTCTCAATCTGCAGCCAAAAGAAAGAGCAGGGTCCTATGTCAGACTCCTATCACATGTGCCCTGGCTGTCAGAGGAAGAGATTCTTTGGAGAAGAAGGACAGGAAGAAGATGGGGATGGGCAGAGTGGGGGACAGGGACACCGGAAGATGCCTGTCCACCAAGGGGGCTGAGAGTTGGTTTGGCTACTATAACCCATAGCCACTGTCTCTCCTGTACCCTATCTACACAGGTCTCTCCCACTACTGTGCCACCTCAGGCCAATCACATAATCCCTCCGGCTGCCCTTCTGCCCAGTGAGGTTAATGGCCTTGACCCTTTGCTCACACCCATCCCCAGCTCGAGGAAAAGAGAAGGGGGGATCCTGGACAGACAGGCCCTGGACTTGGGCCAACAGCAGTCATTAGTACTACGGGTTTCTGGCAGTGCAGGAAGCAATTTAGCTGCAAGAATTAGATCTAAGAAGTTGAAAATGGGAGACAAGAAATCAGCTCCAGTAATTCGTGTTTCAGAGCCCAGAGGGCCCAGAGAAGGCAAGCAAGCTAGCCGAGGTCACACAGCCAGGCTGGTTGGATAATAGGGGTTCTGGCTGCTCTCCAGACCACACAGCAGCCAGGATTCAGGGAGGGCTGGTCTGCAGGGAGGATGCAGGGAAGTGCAGGCTGATACAGAAAAGCTCAGCCAGGCCAAGGAGAGAGCCAGGCTGGCAGAGGGTCTGACCCACTTTAGTCTCACCCTGCCAGCCTGGTTGACCCTGGCCTACTTATGCCAGGCTCTGCAGCCCCAAGCTTTGACCTCTGCACCTTCCATCTGCCCTAAGGTGACCTCCTGCCACACCTCTGCCAGGTCACAGAGTCACCAGACTCCCTGAGCCTTGCTGTCTCTTGTGGCTCCACACCGAAGGCTGTGGATAAATCAGGAGTCAGGAAAGCCGGCTTCCAAACCCAAGCATCCCTTGTATGAGCGTGGGCCTAACACTTGCAGACTTCCAGTCCTCAAAGTGGATTTGACACTGTATGGCCAGGGATCTTGGGACAATCTTTATTTCCCATTAGCTTTTGGCATCTCCCAGTCCATTTGGACCACACCTAGTATCCATGAAGGTAAGTGTGAGCTGAGTTTAAGTCTGTACCACTAGGCCTCTATGTGCTGGGGGTTATTATTTCTTTTTAATTCTTATAAAATAAGTATAACACAGATCTCATTTCAATGTTTTCCATATGCTCAACTGAGTGATATTAATCTTGTTGTACAATAATCATTCCATGGAAAAAGCATTCATTCCTTCCAGTGGCTGTCAGTCAGCTCTATGGAGAGAGGGGGGAAAGTGGAATTTGCCCTCAGCCCTACCTTAGGGGGGCTCAGTCTGTCCACGCCTTAGAAACAGCATGTACCCTCCCTCGGAGCCCCAGGAGGCTGTGGTCAAGTCTGCTGCTCCTGGATCTGCTGGCTGTGGGGGGCAGTCCAGCTGCACAGTGGCAGATAAGGACTCATCTCTCAGCAGGCCATGTCACATCACTGAAGGAAATGTAGAAGGAAAAAGGACTGATACCAGTGAGCCTTCCCAGGATGGTGGCAGCTACCAAAATCATGAGCAAAGAACACAAGCTTTAGCCCCATTTTACAAATGAAACAATTGAGAAATCTACTCAAAAAAGGCTAGATCCCAAGATTCCAGAGCTGGTTCCCCAAGAATTCCAATGGCGCAAAGAAACAGTCAGAAAGTCACTTTCTTTCTGATTCTCCTTCAAGGAGCAGGTCTTGGTGTGGCCAGCCTGTCCTAGCCCGTGCCATTGCCACTTTACTATAGGCCACAGGAGTAGCAGGTCTCTAGCTCAGAGGCTTCAGCCAGCAATAGCATCTGGTTCAAACTGAATGCTTATTCTTGTCGTTTTTACTTTATTTTGAAGGTTTTTCTAGCTACTTTGTATTCAGAAAGAGTGACACTGACTTTCTATTTACAGTAGATACACAGTTCCCTTTAAGAAGTACGAGGGACGTTGAGTTAAAAGACAGACATTGTGCCCCGTGGTGTAGACGGACCTCAGCACTGCACGCAGCCCCAAGTGCAGTGTGTGCCGCGGAGCCTGGGGCAGGGCTCCAGCTGTGGGCAGGGCACCAGCCACTTTACTAGGGTTGGCATCACCCAGTACAGTAACCCACAGTGCCAAAGACTCATACCATGGGCAGGCCAGCCACTCCCTGTGGCCAGACTGACCCCACTTGGCCCTGCCTAGGGCCTAGTATTGTTGCCTCCAGACAAAGACTGGATCCCAAAGGCCTCTCAGTCCTCCACTGGCCAAGGCGAAGACGCTTCTCTCCACCCAGCTGTGTACTCGCCCACATCCTGACTGCGGAGGGATGACAGTGATGAGTTGCCATACTGGGTAACGGGTGACACTAACCCTGGTGACACCACTGCTTGGTGGCCCCTCCCCACAAGATACCAGCCCATCTACCACTGTCACTCTGGACATTGATGTCACCTCCCTGTCAGTGTCTAGGGTATAGTCTGCACATGCTCTCACACACACACATACACACACACACACACACACACACACACACACACACACTGTCCCATCAAGCTTCTGCAGGACACCTTACTGCTGTAAAGCTTGGGACCCTCTGTAAGACAGGATCACAGTGCCAGTACCTGCCTGGGGTGGAGAGAGTGACGGTGAGACTTGGAGGCTGCATCTGAGCCCAAGTCCAGCACCAAGAGGAGCTCAAAGCAGACAAGACCACCCTGAAGGACAAAGCTGAAGGACTCCCACTACCAGTCAACGAGATATGGTGGTGCAGCAGTTAAGTACTCAAATGCTTAACTTGACTGCAGTTTGAATACACCCAGTGACTTCTCAGGAGAAAAGATCTGGCAACCTGCTCCTGTTAAGATCCCAGTTTAAAAAATCCTTTGGGTTTCTACTTGTCACGTGGGACTGCTAGGAGTTGAAATTTA